AACCTACGCAGATCTTGATGCAATCAAAGAAGGATCTTAAGTGAGGAATTCTTTTCTAAAAAGGAAAGGTATATTCTGCACATGCATATTGGGATATGAATCAGTAATTTCTATTGCCATGTGTGTAAGATGTTGCATAAATTTAATGCTTGAAATATCTACATTCCTTTTGCGAAATTCGTTAATGTCATATAATCTTTATGCTTATGAGATTCACGCTTAAGGAAAATTCCTACAATCTTGAATCACTTGCTATATTCTTAGAAGATTTTTTTAAATAGCAAGTTTGATCCGCAAATCAGAGCAAGGTATGTACGTGACATTCTCTATATTTTGCAAAGATTATTATCTCTCTTACAAGTATTTGTAGGATGTAAAAGAATCTTTCCTTGTGAAGTTTGGAAAGCTTGATCCCAAAATCGTGGAGATTTTGCAATATTTTCGAAGGATAAAGAAAATTCCACTTTGTGCAATATTCTGACAAATTATTGGAGACATGTCAAAACACGATGAGCAAACGCTTAATGCGTCGTACGAAAGGATAAGTTGCTTCAGGTTTAAATATTTGATATTATTTTAATTGCTAAAGAAAATGCATTACATATTATGTGAGATATTATATCTTTAACTGCAAATTTGTGCAAAAGGTTTGTTGAGTTTATGCAGTTTGAATCTGAGACGAGCTTGATGGAAGAAAACAAATTTCTTTCTCGAATTTCAAAATGCAAACAAATGTGGCGGATGTTCCTGCTACAAAGAAAATAGAGGAACAACAATTTGTTCAAAGTGCACAAGCTGCAATGAAAGTTATTTGCAAAAGCTGTCTGGATGACAGGGGGAGAAAAACAAAAAGTGGAAAAATGCAAAAGAAAGGGGGAGAATCATCTCAAAATGGTATCAAATTGAGGGGGAGCGTAAATCAAGTATGAAAATCAATTTAATTTCTGCCCACTCTTGATTACTATGAAAGAAAAGGTAATGTATGTTAGAACTTGCTAAGTTCTACACAATCCGGGTTAGTATTTCTTACTTTTTGTCATTAACGAATCTCTTATTTATATTATCGTTTTTTCATGACAAAAAGATTGTGAAATTTATTATGTGCATACGTGTTCGTTGATATATATGATATTTGATTCTTCAGAACATGAGCTATATTGAATATATGTTATGTTCGCGAAAGATGATATTTTTTTAAGGTTGTGTTTCATGTCAAATATTTTTTTGAAGATGAGTTAAATTTATATTCTCTACGTGATACCCTTTCCATTACTATCACTTTTTGATTATGACAAAAAGGGGGAGAGAATGTAAATATGCATATGTGCTTAGTGGTTAATTCTACTTAATTGTTGCATAATATTGAGTTGTGATTATACTTCCATATATTGTCATAATCAATATTGTCATATTGAGTTGTGATTACCTTGCTGGAAATATGCTTGAAGCAGCGGACGAGAAGCTGGGCTCGAGCTTCGATAGGAAGGAAATGGAATGCTTGATGATGGTGGGGCTGTGGTGTGTGCATCCAGATCCCAAGAGAAGGCCAAAAGCAGGACAAATCATCAGGTTTCTTCAGCTAGAAGTCCCTGTGCCAGAGCTTCCACTCGCCGCATTCGAGTCTCCCACTTTATATCAGCCACCAGCACTGGGGATAGGATCTTCTTCTTCTTCTTCTTCTAGTCAAGAATTAGTAGTGTGAAGCAAGATGTACTATGGCTCCTAAAGCCACACGACAACGCATGTTGGATTTGTGGATGGAGGAGGACAAACATGGTTCCTCATGCACCGTCCTTTTACCCGTAAATAAGGCTCGGGGCATTGACCATTTCTGCTCTTCCATTGTTCATTTGGTGCTCCGGTCGTTAGTCTCATGAATTCGTTGTTAGCCCGTCTCCTCGCTGAAAAAGCTTTTGGGGGAAAATGGTTTGTCTAACACCTGCAATATATATATTTTCTGCTCAAGTCGTATCTTAAAGTTGATGATATAGATACATCCGTAGGGTTGTACAACAGAAAGCCTGCATAGATATGTAACGGGCATTCTCAGTTTTCTGATATTTCGGATATTGGCTGTTATAATCATCTTGTAACGTAATCCTACAAAGTTAATTCACTTTGCCTGCATAGGCATGAACGGCCCCGATTCCCCGCCTAGCGTTTAATAATTTTCCTGCAACAAATGTCGGAAAATGATTTCCATATTATTTGTAAGGTATTGCCAAATATAATCATTTTCCTCAAAAAGAAGTTCTTTTCAAAATACTTTCCAACAAAGTCCATTCTTCGTGGAACAAATGGAACCTAAAGTCCATATAATATTGAAGGCACGCCTACAACGACAACCACAAAAGCACACCAACAAAAAATGCTAATAAGCAATTGTAATATTTTCCTCTAACCATACCTCTGTTTAGTGGGTCATAAGTTAGAGGCATTACCCACATATAGATTAATAATAAGCCATTAGCAGTATTCTCCACAGTCCACGTTATTTTTTTATCATAGGCGTTCTTATTTGAGAAATTTTTTTTTTATTATGATTGGTCTACAAAAGTTGTATACTAAGTGACGTGTCATACTTCTCTTGGTTATTGTTTAAAGGTTCGCCCACAACCCGACACATCATTTAGTAAATTGATTTTGCATATCGATGTTACAAAACCTCTCATTGTCCTTTTTACTTTCATCAATTTTGTTATCCTCGTCAAGTTTGCCATATGATCCAAAATCCTTCATTTGGAGCAAGACTATGTTTAGGTCAACTCTTCGTGAGTAAGCCCATTTTCCCTTTTCATGAAGTGGGCTCGAGTCTTTGGAGTATTAAGGATACTTTGCCCAACTTAAATCAAAGAAGAGGTGGGTTAGCCCGTAGCTGAGATCTCAAGATCTACAGTCCAACTAGTGATTTACCACTTTTGGCAGAAAGCTCAACTTAAATCAAAAGAAGAGGTTGGAATTTTACGATTCAATACGGTTCCATGGTCTTAACGGATTGACATTTCAATATCTTCTAAGTTTGGCTGTGGATCCGGTCGATGTGCTTACGTCAGCATGATTAGAAAACCATCTAAAAGTTCTAAAAAATTTGAAGATTTAGGGTTAAAATCTAAAATCTAGGGGGAGAAAAACTATTAACTCATTGAACCAACAGAACAAGAACAAAGAAGAAATGGTTTCGCTGAGAAGTGGCCCATCGTATGTATTTGAGCTATGACCATGAGCCTCATAGAAACCCAAAATGAAACCAAACACCGGTCCAACTGAATTTAATTCGGTCTAGACCAATTGTTTTGATGGGTTTGACTGGATTATTTTAGAACGACCGGTTCAATCTAGTTGAACCGGCTGGTCCATCCGGGTTCAGACACATTGGCTGTTTGATTAAAATCTTGTTTGATAAAGTAAAAGCGTGAGTAGGGACGATCAATGTATCCCTTTAAGGGTTAATATAAGGGCTCGTCACTCGTTACAGAATGTTAGAATTGAGCCATAATTACTAATTTTAGCCGTAGGTGTATAAACCATCATCGCAGCGCCACTGCAAGATGTTTGTTTAAGTCAAAATTGTGTATTGCGACTGTCAAATACAATATATTGAGGTAGTAGTTGAGGAAAAGACTAGTATTTATGGATTAGGCGCATGACAAAGGATTTGATTTCACACACCCCCGAGTGTAAACAATTCATGTTTAGGCCATCGAGCCGAACTTTGACTCATGTCTTATCCTATATTCGAGGTTGATAAGATATTTCGTCACCTTGGTTAAACACTCCATTTTAGTTAAAAAGGGTTGTCTTTTATGGAAAGAAATCCGTGTGCAGATTGGTTAACAAATTGGATCATTCAGTCATGTGATGTAAATGTTATTCCAGCATTAGATAGGTCATCGCTAGGTTTGCTTCCCCTATAGATAGGAGATCAGTCCGGTTTAAGCTTTGTTAGACAAGTATTAACGTATTACTCGAGCTTTGCCCCTTTTTCTTTAAAAAAAATGTCTTTTATATGGTGGCTTGTACGGTTGCAAAGATTGGCGCCCCTTTTTCTTCTCCGGAATCTTTTCGTGTCTCACATGGCCTTCCTCTACGTGGACTTGAACGTCTGACTACACGAAAGTGAGCTCATGCGTGTGTGATCCATCATCGAAGGAACACTAGAACATGCGCATTAAATTCCTTGGCGATGTCAAGAGACTCCGATGCTAAGCAACCTCTCACACAGTTGTCTACCTTGTCTCCAGGACCAGAGATATCACGTGTCCACCGTCGTTCTTTGATAACTTCAAACTTTCTAAACGAACCGCCGCGCCACGCACTTGACTCCTGGATGGTACTAGGACAAGCATGTCGAGGTCGATTTCTCGACCCTTCTATCTGTATATCTTCTTTTGGTGTCTTTGGTTTCCGCAAATCCTCATATCGAACATGTATCAGGTGCATTTTAAGGTTTTGTCCCCCTATCAAGTGCTAGGCGTGGAAGCTTGAAGATATAAAACGTATTCCGCATCGTCCTGTCTAAATGGCTTATGATCTGTGACACCTTGTGATCGTTATTCCTGAACAATATGCAAACTTCATCGGCCGACTCCTCCAGGATGTGCTTCTCCGAGTTTGCATCACGTTCTTGCCTTCAACCATCGATGCTCGGTTCGCAAACTTTCATCTTGGCCATGTTATTTGATACAGCTCACTCACATGGACTTCCTCAAAGCACATATCACATGAACATATATGCAAGAAAAGACAGCCCAGAACCCCCGCACGTCGCATGCAATTACGTCCAGTAAGTAATAACGTGAGCGTAGCATCAAATTCACTTGCACTCTACTCATTATATACATGCACCATCAATGGAAATATAAAAATCCATAATAATAATGCGATATTAGCATATTAACATGTGAAGACGCATCTTATGACATACCACACCGTGGGTTATAAGTAGCCTCCTCCTCTTCTTTTAACTCGTCGTTGACACTTCCCATCAAATCTTCAAGAAAATGGCGAAGTCGTTCGTCGCGATTAATAGCTCCACAAACAGTTCATGGCTTCTCCTGGTTTCATTCTTTCTCATTGTGGCCACGTCTCTAAGACAATCAGAAGCGGCCGTGTATAACGTGCTGAGCTATGGAGCGAAGCCGGACGGGAGGTCCGACTCGACCCAAGCGTTCCAAAGAGCGTGGTCGTCGGCCTGCACGTCGGCCGCGCCGGCCACTGTCTACGTCCCGCAGGGCAACTTCGTGCTGGGCCCGGTGGTGTTCACCGGGCCATGCAAGAGTAGGATCTTGTTTCAGATCGCAGGGACCCTGGTAGCGCCATCAAATTACTGGAGTTTGGGGAATTCTGGGTATTGGATATTGTTCATTAAGGTGACAAGGGTTCAGGTTTATGGAGGGACTCTCAATGCACAAGGTTCTGGTTACTGGGCTTGCAGGAGCTCTGGCAAGAGTTGCCCCGTGGGAGCTATGGTGAGTTATACCAACTTTTGTGTGGATTAACTTGCGCATGCATGGTACATATATTATATAGTGATTGATTTTCATTCCGCTTGAGTTTCTATTCTTTGATTATTTGGCTACTGCTCTTGCTAGTTTGTAGTGTGATTGACATATCGGCCTCGTTATTTGCTAATGATCAGCAAATGACAATCGTCATATGGTTAAGCGAATGTAAACACCTCCTGACTTGCTTGGTGGTTTTCGACATATTGCAGTAATGGTTAATTAGCTGCCCAAATGACACATAATAATCATATTGCTTGTTTCCTTGTCTTTTGGGTAGTCGATATCGTTCCAATGGTCGAGTGATGTCGTGATCAGTGGCATAACCTCCATGAACAGCCAAATGTTTCACATCGCGATCGCCAACAGCGCGAATGTGCTTATCCGGAACGTGAAGATAAGAGCGCCGGCACAAAGCCCCAATACCGATGGCATCCATATCAGTTCTTCCACTGGAGTAACCGTTGTCTCCTCCTCCATCATGACCGGCGACGACTGCATCTCCATCGGTCCAGGCTCCAAGAACGTCTGGATCAAGCGTATTGTCTGTGGCCCCGGGCATGGCATCAGGTACACCGAAATAAAATCCTTTACAAAAGAAGAGATCGATATACTTTTGATTCCTGTCAAGTTTTCAGTATGGAGCGGTTTTATTTCTGTTATCATCGATTCGATTTCTCTGTAAAATAGTTTACCTCCAAAAGGACTGAGGGTATCTCTAATTTACTATATTCTGTAGAATGTGGTTCAATATTCTCGTGTTCGCAACATCGGGTAACTGCATACTATCCAATACCGAAATCAGTAGCCCAACTGATCTACTAAATTTCTTGTAATTTTCGTGTTGTTGTACATGAACAAATATTAACGTGTGGAATTCGACAAAAACAAAATGCAGTGTTGGAAGTCTGGGAGTGAATGCGAATGAAGATGGAGTTGAGAATGTGACAGTAACAGGTGCAGTTTTCACAGGAACTCAGAATGGAGTGAGGATCAAATCATGGGCAAGGCCAAGCAATGGATTTGCTAGAACCATTTCTTTCAGGAACATCCTCATGAAAAATGTGTTCAACCCCATCATCATAGATCAAAATTACTGTCCCAGCACAAATTGCCCTAATCAGGTACTTGCTTAACCCTCCAGCAGATCTTAATCGAAGAAGATATTTGTTTGAATTGGATAAAATTTGGTTGACCAGGATTCTAACAAGTTCTCGTCGACCTCACTTGACTTTTTTTCTGTCATTTATTTCACTCGTACTATTCTCTTTGCAGAATTCAGGAGTGAAGATTAGCCGAGTTACGTACAAGAACATCAAAGGAACATCGGCCACACAGGTTGCGATGAATTTCACTTGCAGCCCGACGAATCCATGCTGGGGCATTGCATTACAGAACATAGAACTCACGTATCTTACTAAACAAGCCACTTCTTCCTGTAAGAATGCTGGAGGCAGCAGCAGTGGAATTGTTGTACCGAGAAGTTGTTTCTGAATTTAAAATATGTTCTTTTGGTCGAGGGTTGCATTTTTTTTGTTTCATGCTAGTTTGTATGTAAATAAGCACATTTCATGTTTTCTTTGATTACACCCATCATCCAATTGAAAAAACCACCATTGCAAAACAAAAACACCTATGACTTCCACTGGACTTGAGCAATTTATCGCCTTTGACTTAATCTTTCAGTTAGGTGAACCAATTATAATAGAAAGACAAATTGCGCAGCAGGTAACCGGAATTTTTCTGGCTAAAGCTGAAAATTGCACAATTTACTGATAGAATATGCTCTGTACAGAAAAAAGATACATAATGGAAGCTCAAAAAGTCATTCCTTTCATATACTTGAGGAAAGATTTTGCATCTCTCCAGGAATTATACACAAACAGTATAATCATACACCCAAAATTATCTCCCGATTACTTTCCACATTTCCACCTCTATTATATAAAAGAAAAAAGAGCTATTTTGCCGACAACATTATACAGCCTTGACTAACATGCCATTAGTTAAAGAATTAGAAGACGACCAATCTAGTTGAAGAAATATCTGAAAGCATGGTAAAAGAATTTGAACCTGCTCCTAGAAGCAAGAAGCTGAGTATTTACATCCGGATATTGCCTGCTTCGCATGAATCTGAGGAAACCTTCAGCATCAGAACCGAATGTGCAGTTGGCAAGGGTGCATAAGGTCCCAAACAAATATCCCATTTCCCGCTCAAGCATTTAAGGGTTGTGCAAATTCCGGAAGTCATCAACGTCAGTAGAATTGCTGTGCTGCCGATGTTCAGGCAGGTAAACTGAACCACCTTGACTTTTTCTGGAACTGGTCAACTTTGAGTCCACACGAAGCATCTTAGATGAATAGCAATGATGCACCCGGATCCGGTAGCTCTGTATTTCGGTGGAGCAACTTCCTTGAATTATCAACTTTAACATCACTTCCTTATCCTGGGTATCTTCAGACCACCAGTTCTGTGGTATTCCCTCAACCAAGTCCTCCAGCGTATGCAATTCTTCATGGTGGACCGAAACCTCCACAAATTGTTCCGGTTTTATTATGCCACCAGCTGGCATCACCTGTATTGCGATACAACCAAGATTACCTCAACTTGGGATGGTAGATATGTATCTACAGGAAAGATATTCATGAATACTAGCGGAAAAGTAAGAATTTGCTAGGAATACGAACACATATTCTCCTAATAACCTGAATCACTTATAGTGTTCCTCCTCCATCAGAAACCAAATGGATCCCTTAAGAAGAAAGACCCATAGAATGAGTTTGCCGATGTCTTAAAGCATGCTTGCATAATTTTTTAGATTGATACACTAAGACATTATTGTAGATATACCTGGCTAAAATAATGTCTTACAAAACTTTAGTTGATATAGATACAAGGTACTTTAAGCTGAGCGCACAATTTGAAGGGACCACATCCATTGAGGCAATGATACAACCCAATTCTCCAGGATATGACAGGGGAGACCATGGGAAGTGTTGGAATCAACTATCAGACGAATGTTACTAGATGGCAATAATCTAGTGAAATTGGAACACCTCCTACCGCTGGACCAAATGTGGATCCACTGAAGGTCAGGCTGCTACCAAACGTAGTTAAGTTAATTAGATGGCTAATCCTTGGCTTAATCGGGAAGAGGCTTCTCGATATTGATATCTAATTGTTGGTCTTTTCATTCGGCCAACGCAGAGAAAAAATACCTCAAGCCATCGTGGGAAGCCGAAGGAACCTCTTGGACGTTGATCTGATGAATGAGCATCCTCCTTCATAGCAGACTGACCTTCACAGATAAATCTAAACACGGCTTTGTCATCGACACATCTGTTGGTGATCCTTAAAACATAAGTGTCCTGGTTCTTCAGAAGTATGCTGTCAGTGCTCACAACAGTTTCAGGAACACGACGCATTTCTGCTAGCATGGTCCTGATGTTTTCATTTGATTTCACTATATTCCCAAACTCTTGTCTCCTAACTGATCGATCAACATGAGCAATTTCAGCACTGAACTTACAGCGTACAGGTTTGTGATCACTGTCGGTCACATCCATACAAGCCTCATACCTTCAAAAAAGAAACAACATTAATTTTACACTGAATTCCCCAATTGTAAGTAGGCACAGATGAGGTGGAACGTACTGTAATATAGATGTGACAATGGGACACTCCAAGCTGCATTCTGACACTGAAGAGGACCGGTTGTCATGATAGAGGATTCTGTCGCACCAAGCAGGAATGCGCTTCTTCTCTCCAGAATCATATCCTGATACATAAAAGCAACTGCCTTCAACACCAATAACAAAACAAGAACTAATAAAAAGCAGGCACAAGAGCTCCATTATGGGGAACCTTCGGTTAGCTATCTGGTTCCATGTACTTTGCAACACTGGCAAGAAGCTATGGTCCTAGTTTATTAATCCTTTACCTCCTAAACCTGCTTGGTGACGTTCAAACTTGTAAGTTGGAGGAAATCTGATGAGTGCCTCACGCATTCCTTGGAATACTTTCCCTGCCTTCATTTCTTCTCTCAGTTGATCCTTTTCTCTAAGCCAATCAAAGCTTCTCTGGGAAACAAAGTCCCTTGCTTCATCATAAGATATACCAAATAGTCTGTAGTTGAAATCACCAAGAAACACCACCATATCTGCCTCTGACAGATCAGGTCTTCCCTCCTCAGAGTTGTGACCCGTGTTCTGTGAAACACCAGTCCTTGTTACTTCAATCTAATAAATCTAAATATATCCATTTGAGTGGCAGGAGGAGTACGAAGGCAAGAAATGCCATTTGAGAGTAAATGATTGAAAGAACTACTCACACTCATACTGCGAGGCATCTGTGCCGAAGAGGAGACACCAGCTGCAACAGAGAGCACAAATGGCAAGCCAGAAGAATAGAGTAGCCAAAATGAATATATGCACAAGGCAAGATAGCAAGACAAAATCAGGTATGGGACCATACCAGCTGCAGCATTGAGTACATTATATGATCGGCTGAATGCCATAGTTCGGTAGATGTGATCAAAATCAGCATTCCGCCGATTGACAGCTTCCAAATGTGCTGCCAAGTGACAGTTCACAAAGCATATAATCCGATCATAGACACGGATTCTCAAACCTACACCACCCTGATCAACCAGACATGGTCATATCAGTGAATGTCATGTAGGAGGCTATCGAGAGTACACAAACTCCGAGTTTAAAATTATCTAAGTCTGCTTCTGCAAACATGATAAACTCTAACTTCAAATAAACTAGGAGGTTTATGGAGGAATGGGACAAACCTTATTACCAATTGCACGACCAAAGCCACATGCAACTGCTGCCACATCAACATCTCCAACGTGTGTTCTGAGATTCTTTCTAACCCTGTACCAAGTACAGAAAAAAAGGAGGTCAGAGACCCTAGGATGTATTGGGAAAATATCTGGGGTTAGGGATATTGAATGTTGACCATTTGGAAGTTAAAAAGTAAGACCAAATTAAGCTGCATTCGCAAAATACTAACATAATAAAACCAGAGATACGGCATAAGGGCTAACAAACTAAAGGACATCAACGAAGGTGAAGTCAGATTTGTAGTACCATGGATTGGCAAATAGAGCTTGGGTATTCCGAATTGGAAAAATGCCCTAATCATTGACCCGTTAACATCGCATTTACAGTTATCCTGCAAGGACTTACCAGAGAGCTATGAGCAACCCAGCCAACTGCCTAGACCCCATACGCTCGAACGTATTTCCTTCATCCAAAGTCTTCCCAATAGTATCCAGCCACCAATGTCCAATTGAACTCCCTTCAAGCCCTACCTAAAATGGGCAGACTATGTGAGAACTCATTTTAAGAAAAACTCCAACAAGTATGCATCAAACACATGCTTGAACAGGCATGCGCCCAAGTGCCAAGCAGCAAGTGGATGAGGAAGGAAAAGATGGAGCAAAGAGAAAACATATCTTCAAAGTTAACTAGAGGTTCATATGATTGAGAGGGACCATCTTAGAAATTGACTCAGGAGTTTCATCAAAGACTAGAGGATCATATGAATGGAAAAACTGCAACAACTATTTTGCTAAGAAATATCTGCAGAAAAGAAAGAAAAGATATTTCCGTTAAGGGATTTGATCAAATTCGTTAATTGGCTGATGGTGTCAGCAATCACCAAGTGTTCTCTGTCAAATGATGGAGTGACTTATTGGGTAACCAGAAGGATAAGTCCTAGAGAATGAGGACTTGTCTATTTTTCACATTTGCTATCAATAAACAAAAGAACCTTGAAGCATAGCCCAATTGACCCATAGTCAATCATCAATAGAAGTCAAAGAAATCATACAGTTTCTTTTGCGGCTGACATCGCAAGAAACCCGGCACCCATCTCCACTTCTTGGCACCCAATAACAACAATTCCAACATCTGAGGCAGCAGAACCTAACCACAATGAAAGCGACTCCTGAGAAGCTCTTCCCTGGCCAACATTCCACGTGCCAACCAATATTTTGACATTGTTTTGTCTTGTGTATATTTCTTCTTTTGCAGCCAATTCTGACCGTATAATGTTGTCAATAGGTCCTGGGGATGTTATATTCCACCCACGTATGCCACCATGAGTGGCTAAGCTATATATATAATTTCTTCCAACTGCCAGTTTTATCACCGGGCTGCTGTGAGCAATCCACCCTGCAACTACATTTCCCTCGAGGTCCAAGACCTGGATTAATCCACTGATATAGCCTACATAAATTCGTGTTCCAAGAGTACAGAAGCATAGAACTGCACAAGCATGGTGATTAAAATCTTGCAAACGGGTTCCCCGTGTATCCCACTGCACCAGTAAACCATTTGAGCATCCAGTCCAAATCATTCCATCGGCAGTTTGAACAAGTGCTTCTGTTTTCTTGGTATTTTCTTCCGTAAATGCCCCAGCACCCTTTGTAGCCACTCGGCGAACTGCATCAGCAGCTCCCATTATGGCATTACGAGACCGC